GAAGAGATGGCCCTTGAATACATAAGACCTGCTTTTCAACATGGGAAAACTGAAGTGCCAGATGAGGTCAGAGACACACAAGGTTAACAGACTATAGTTTATGTGTGACATTCAGACATTATATTGCTAAGGAAGACTTCAAATATCTTTTGAAGTAACCTCCTCCAGTTGATCAGGGAGTAGTTAAATGGATTCTTGGTGCCTAGATTCCGATGTTGTCATATTAACTAGTTTTAACTAGATCCAGACCATTTCTATTACCCAGGTACTAGGATAGGAAGAGAATTCAGTGCTTACCTAACAGTGGAGTCCCAGTAACTTTGTTACCTGGGTGCTCTGATATTTGGGATCATAATAGGGGAGTCGATGAAGACACTTAGGAAAATTCAAAGAGGGGATTAGCTTGCTGAATTCTGAGTCACATCATAGAAGCTGGTGATTAGTGGGAAACTATGGAAGGTCAGCTGTGAAATACTTTCAGTTCTATTCAGAATGAACTTCAGAGTGATTTTCACTGCAGGTGGATAAGAAAGGGTTTGGGGAGGGATAGATGGGAAACAATTTTTTTCCTGTCATTATCTTCTCTGCTCCACTCTGGAGACAGATATGGTGATCCTCTATTGCAGCTTCTAAAACTACATTTTCAGATCAAGGATGGGTCAGAGATTCTGTGTTTCTGACCATCCCAGGTGATGTCAATGCCTGCAGAACACAGACCACACTCTCTGTTAGTAGGGAAAGAAGGGGAAGTTAGAATGGTTGGGTGGGGGGAATCTTATAATATTGGGAAAGAGAAACCTTGGTGAGAGAATTGGATCCCTCAGTCCCGCAGTGACTGGAGAGGGTGAGTGGGAAAGAGGGAGGTACTGTGCAGAGAAATGAGCATGAATCAAGATAGAAGAAGATAGATAAGTCATTTCCAGGCTCAAAAAGCACAACTGATTGCTGAGTAATAACATAATGTTGACCGTTAACTGACAGAATTATGTGTGTTTGGTTTCTCCATTAGGTCATCTGCTATAGGTCATATGGCAAATTGGTGATAAAAACAGAATGAGTTCACCCAGAGATAGCTGGTAGACACTTTAACAGTAGGTGGCACTATTGCATCGTCATTCAGAATTTAACAAAAGAGTAGTAAAAATCCCAGGATTGCCTTGTAAGGTAATTATTGGATTCAACAAATTTCCTTAGTTCCCCCTTTCATTGTTCCAAATACCCAAATAGACTTTCCCTCCTCCCTCTAATGTGAGAATTCATCTCTTTCAGATGTTGCATTTTATACTTACAAGTTTACAGAGTTCCCATGAATACAATAGGCAATAATTCAACTTCTCACTTATGCCTAGAGTTAAAGACTACCAAGGCTCTTTATTATGTGTTCTCATGCCAGAGTGCACAAAGTTCAATTTTGCTAAGTGTGCATCGCTGCTATTGTCCTTCTAGTCCCTCTTGGACTAGAAATACAATGATTCAAACAATGACTGCCACCAGTCGCCAAAGAATGCCTCAAAGGAAACTCCTCTCATCTCTCTTACTTAACCTACTTTCCCGTTCCACTCTTACTATGTTCTGAGCTGAGTGATGAAGCTTTAAGATCCCACCCTAACTTCCTTCTCCAAGTGTCTTTTAACTTCCTATCAACAAAGAAGCAACATTTACTCCTCATCCTGCATTTTGTGCCCATAACTTAACTACTTGGCCAACTCTCAGGTTATTCTATGACCTAGAATAAATCCTACAAAACCCCTGTAATCAATCACATTTATAAAGTTAGGCGACCCAAATCCTTTGCACAAGCATCAATATGGCCACGGGGACAAATTGTCTCTAAACTCCACTGGGTTGTAAAAATTTCCAGGGACAATGCATACTGGGAAGAGCAAGTTTGTGATGTCTAGGGTTTCCCCACACTCTAGAAGCACACTCAGACTTTCCCAGCTTTGATTCATGTAAGTGTTTCATTCATGTATCTTAAATGATCTTTTATGACCACAACCATAACAACCAATTTTCTTTCTGATCCCTGAAGGAGTTTAGAGAGGTCACTGAAAATATAGACTTTGGTTGATTATTTGTGTCATTTCCAAACTATTTCATACCATTGGGATCAGTAATCATGCAGAAGATTCATAGAGGGAACTATTTAAATTTCAAAGATATTTTTCAATGTGGGTCCCAACTATTGAAGCATAATGAAAAGGGTAATCTCTGTCTTGTTACTACCATCAGATATCATGCTACAGCAGACCAAGGAATAAGGAATAAGGAGGGGAGATGTTTTGGTGATGGTGGAGAAGTGATGAAGCCACGGCTACAGGGAAGCGCATCAATCTGCATTCAGGTTATAGGAAGATCCTTAGAACAGTTAGGGAGTCTACCCCTTCATTAAACAGGAAAGAAGATGAAACTCATAATGGATGCAGTTCGCACAAGGCCACACATTTAGTTAGCAGGGCAGTGAGAACAAGAGTGTAGTTCTTCAGCTGTCTGTGTATGTGGAGTTCCAGTGTTTAACATCCAGTTCTTCAGGATCATCACTGATAAGGAAGTCTCTATATTGTATAAAGAGAAACGGAATTATTATTTTCCCTTCTCTCTTATTTCTCCATCCCTAATGTCTAATTTTCTTTTTTTAAGATGCTGCTGCCGAGACAAGTCAGGCATATTTCGGTGACACTGGATTGCTGCCATGCCGCTTTAAAAATCCTCAAAATACAAGTCTGGATGAGCTGGTTGTATTTTGGCAGAACCAAGATAAGGTTCTTTATGAGCTATATACAGGCAGTGAAAATCCTCACAACGTACATCCCATGTACAAGGGTCGCACAAGCTTTGACCTGGGCAGTTGGACCTTGAAACTCCACAACATTGAGATCAAGGACGAGGGCACATATTATTGTTATGTCCATCATAAGCAGCGCAACATTGGAATGGTTCCCATCTACCAGATGGGTTTCTATCTATCAGTTCTTGGTATGTAGTCAGCGTTGGCTCAGATCCCTGGTCTTCTCAGCTGAGACTGAAATAACCAGAGAAATGTTTCTGGTGGCCGGGAGGGCTTACAGAGAGAAGGCAGAAATCCACCATTTCTTGGGAAATCCATTGGAAGGGAAGGAAGGTTTTGGCAGTAGTCCTCTGTGTTGTTGTTGTTTTTTTTTTAACTAATGACCTGGGGTGTAGGCCAGAGGTGTGGGTGGTGAGAGGATTCACCTAAGAGAGTGGGGAGCAGAACAGATGAACCTACTGAAATCTACTGAAATACACTGCTGATGGGAGCAGCAAGTGAGACAGGAGAGGTCTGCTGCACCGTGTGGGTCAGCTCCCTGGCTGGGATCAAACTCATGCTGCAGTGGCTGGAGATCCTTGATAGTGTTGAGATTTTAACACCTTTGCCACCAGGAAGGTCCTGTCCTTTGTATTTTTTACACCATATATACAGCCATAAAAATCTGATTCGGGACAAAATAGAGCTAGTCAAACAAAGGTGACAAGGCTAAGAGAAAGCTATGAACAGTTTGTTCTTTACTAAATTTATATAGCCAGATAGAGCTCTGCTCTCTTTTACATTCATTTTCTCCTTTGGTTCATGATTTCTCACCCTGCTATCTTTGCCTAAAGCTCCTAGCGAGGGTGGTAGCTGACTGATTTGAGTTTCCCTTCATTTAACAAGAGGCTGTATATAAATTACTTGCTGCCATGAGTGAAACCATCTGGTTTCTGGTTTCTGGTATGTTTCTTTTTCTTTCTGGCTTATTTCACGAAGCATGATCCCTTCCAGCTCCATTCATGTTGCTGCAAAAGGCATGAGTTTGTCTTTTTGATTGCTGATTAATATTCTATATTGTGTATATATGCCACATCTTTTTAATCCAGAAAAGTGACTGGGTTTTATATCTCATAGTATATGATGGAGACACATTGGCAGTTGTTCCAAAATCCAGTATTCTGTTTCCTTTTATTTATTTATTTATTTATTTATTTATTTATTTATTTATTTATTTATTTATTTATTTATTTATTCATTTATTCATTTATTTTACGTTATTGTGTATACCCTGTAAAATTCCCACCACTGATTCACTCTCCCTTGTTTTGATCCTTTCCCATTTCATCTGAGTGCTGTGGGGTCCAGAAAGCTATAAACCCAAGGTGCACTTAAGGAAGCTTGAAATTTGCCCAGTCATCTAGGCTATCTTTGCTTAGAAGATTCATTAAAACATTGACACAAATATACACATCCCATTTTTTTATTGCAAATTTTCCACTAGCTTGGGTTTCTGGAAGATAAGACACAGACTATGCCATGGTCTCTGTACCTGATGGGACTTTAATCTCAATCCCTTTCTGCCCATGAGTCTAGCCAGCTGAAATAGCCCCAATGGGATGCTTGGGTTCTAAAATCAGACCACTTTTCTTTGTCAAAACTCTATTCCCTAAACAGTGACTTAATTATTTTCACTAGGCACAGCCTCACAGGTCTCACAATATATGTAGTTAATTGATAAATAAGTTTGTTAAGTCAGTTTCAGCCCTCCTGTCACTCAGAGTGCACCCCTTGTTTGAGTAAGTAGATGGATAAGCAGGAAGTAACATGGCCTTAAACTCCAGTTTTGAAAAATAAATGTGGAATCATTATATGGTTCTCACCATGGGCTGAGCCCATATTTTAGACATTCATAGGCTACCAGGTATGCCCCCAGAGAATCCCTAAACTGGGTATCTAGTTCTTGGCTATTTCTTCTAGCTATATTTAAAGTTGGATTGACTACTTTTTGTATCTCTATTTTTCTTTCAGCAAACTTTAGTCAACCTGAAATAATGGAAATTTCTAATGGAACAGAAAATTCAGGCATCATAAATGTAACCTGCTCATCCCAACAAGGTTACCCAGAACCTATCAAAATGTTTTTTGTTATAAAAACAGAGAATTCATCTGATGAATATATGGCTAACATGATGATATATCAAGATAATGTCACAGAATTGTACAGTGTTTCTGCCAGCCTGTCTTTTCCAGTCCCTCCTGAAGCAAAAATGGTGAACATCTCCTGTGCCCTGGAACCTCAAGTAACAATGGCAACACTTTATTCTCCATCTCTCATTATAGGTAAAGCTGTTCCCAAGATTATTTCTTCTATCAGGTAGTATATACAAATGGTTAAGGTATGTCATCCTGCTTGCCAGTATACCTTGAACTGGGCTATTTTATCGTACAATTAGGAGGAACCCAGATAGTGGGCTCCTGCTTCATCTGAGTGCTGTGGGGTCCAGAAAGCTATAAACCCAAGGTGCACTTAGGAAACTTGAAATTTGCCCAGTCATCTAGGCTATCTTTGCTTAGAAGATTCACTAAAACATTGACACAAATATACACATTCCATGTTTATATATGTGTGTACACACATACCTATACACACACAAATATACACACATTCCTACAGCACTTGCTATGAGTATAGATCATTCTAGAGATTGTTAGTTACAAGGAATAAGTATAAGTCATATTCAGTACCCTAAAGAGGATTTCAGTAGAATCAGAACTCGGAGATGCACACATATGGAACAAGATGGACTTGAACAAGATGAAATTGTAGTAAATTACATTCCATGGAAATATATAACTAAATTTAAGACAAGAAAGACTGACAATAAGTTTCATAGGCATTCAGAGTAGGCAAGTTCCTTGACAATCAGGGAAATCTTCCTAAAGTAAGACCTGATAATATTATCAAACAAATAATTGAGATTAATAAGTGCGCTGAGGAGATAACAGATCCTCAGATATGTGGTAGCTTCCAGAGCAGAAAGAAAAACCCTAAGACTCGGAAGTTAAGAGGACATGGGCACTGGCAGTTGTGCCAGGCACTGTAGGCACAATTCATGGAAAGACTCAGAAGCAGGGATGCTGTGCTGTGTTGATGATGTAGCATGGAACTAATCCAGCTGGAGGAAAGTCTTGAAATTCAGCAATATCTGTTCATAGGAGCCTGCCATTTGTAAGTCCCTGCTTCACCCTGGTGTGAATGCACCTGCATTTGAGATCCCTTTTGGAAGAACAATAATTGCAAGTTTCTCTGCTACAATGAAGGCACTCTGTACCCATTGCCTCCCTGTCACTTCTTGTTCTAATCCTGACCTTGACCGTGACCCTGACCCCTCCCTCACCTGCTTTCTACTCACCCTGGACCTTCCCAGCACTGGTCTCTGGATTTGCCCCAGCTTCTTGCCCTTTCTCTGACTTTGCTGCCCCTCTCTTTTGGCATCTCAGTGTTCGTACATAACTAAGCATATGGACACATTCTTATGAACAGCCCCCAATGCCCATTCCCCCTTGCTAGCATTACTAGGGGGTCACCTCTCTCTTGGTGCTGATTTCCTTTACTCAGACTCCTCCACCTCTGAGAGGCTGATAAATCATGATGCCAGTAGCACATCCTGATTGTTCCTACCGTAATCTCTTTTAGCCTGATAGAAGCTTATCCTGAGCCATTCCTAAGCTTTTTCCTAAAGCTCAGCACCTTCTCAGAGCCACAGCACCACCAAACATGACATGTTCTGGGGGTCTCTGCTTCTCTCACAGTCTACAGAAGAACAGGGTCTGACCACCACTATGGTCTTATCTTGGCTTACCTTCCTGCTGCTCCTCATCTACCGCCAAAATCTTCCAGTTACCACCATTTTTAGAAATGTTTCAGCGCACACAGTCTCAGGAAGAGGGAGCTTGTTCTGTGACCCTGTTTGAATATTTGATTAGACAGGTTAGACCCTGAGGCTAAGAACCCTTTTGGGTGTCTAAAGGTGCAGTCTCCATGATAATAAATAAAACCACCTTTACTGGGCATGCCAAATAGGCTCAAATAGGCATAAAGAGTGTTGAATATAGCCACAATGCCAAAGACCCTTAAAGCCCAGGAAAAGAGCTTATGCCTTCAAATAGCAGCTAAATTAATGGGAGCTCAGCTGGCCCTAGTTTGAGATAACTACCAGAACCATCCCATAAATATCTCTAAAATGAGCCACCACTCAGTTCTAAATTTCCCCACTGAGCCTATTTTTCAACTTTCTAGGCACTTAGGCACTCGTGCAAGGAAGTCATTTCTGGTCAAATCAGACCAGCTGATTCTGACCCTCATTCCATAGGGCATAAAGACCTATCAAAAGTTTTCTAGTAAGACTGTTCTGAGAAATCAATGGAAAAATAAATAAAACTAGAACTAGCAGGTCAGTGAGGAGATTGTTATATTTGTCCAGGTTAGAGGTATCTGGAGCCTAGTCTAGAGATGATAGTGGATGGAGGAATTAGGATGATAGTTTCTGCTGCAGGGAAACTTCAGGACCCGTGATCCAATGACCTAGGATAACAAAGCAGAGTCTCAGCAGAGACATCTTATTCAAAATCTAGAACCAAGGACCACATCAACCCATCATTGTCATCCCCACTACCAAGAGGGAAGGCAACTGAGTCCAGGCATTTGTCCAGAGGCACAGACATTTGTCTTAGTGTGAGTGAGCATGGAGGCCTGAAATTGGGACTTCCTGTGGCCCGAAGTTGTGGGTCTCAGTCTCCTGATAGGCAGAAATGTAAATAAAGACAGCAGCAGTACTTATAAAGTTTTATAGTCAACCTTCCTGGCTGATTGAAAACGTGTGGTCACTTCTAGATGTAAAGCCATATGAACCACCGTCAGTTCCAGACCCCACCCTCTGGCACGTGGCTCTAATTGTAGCCGTGCTCACAGTGTTTGTGATGGTGCTCTTTGTAATGCAAAGGAAAAAGAAGAAGAAGCAGCCTGCCCCCTCTCATGAAAATGGTGAGTCAGTGCTTATCTTTTCCACAGATTACCACTGGCAGCTGCCTTTAGGCCCTGGCAGAGGCAAGAAAGAGGCTTTCCCTCAGGGGTGGAGTTCCTCACACTGTGATTCAGCGCTGGCACCTGGCACTGTTGTAATGGACTTCCAGGGGAGGCACTCTGTCTCTGGCAACCTCTCTAACCTAAGCTTTCCAGAGGTACTTCAGGCTTGCAGGAACAGCTGGTGCATCCCTGACTTCATGAGGTCACTGTGTGAATTCAGTGAAGTCAAATGATGAAAACATTTCTAAAAGTGCTCAAGCGAATTGTTTGTTGGGTCAAGGGAAGATTAGATAACCCTAAGATTCACCTATTCATGTCTAAAAGTCTAGGTTCCCTGAGAAGTTAGATGAATTATCCCTACTGACTTTTTTTTTAAAAAAGATTTATTTATGTATGCATACAGAACTGAGGTACAGGTCAGAGGTGCAGAGGCAGTGAGAAGATTCACCAGAGACAGAGTGGGGAGCAGAACAGGCAGATCCACGAAGTACACTGCTGAGGCAAGCAAGACAGGAGAGGTCTGCCACACCATGTGGATCACCCCCAGGACAGGGATCACCACCAGGGCAGGGATCAAACTTGCACTGAGGTGGCTGCAGCCATCCTGTAGTGCTTTTTCCTAAGCCGTTGTGCCACCAGGGAGGGACTTATTCCTACTGCCTTTTGAAGAGTATTAACTGTTGATTACCAATTATTATTAATTTATATCCACCACCAAATGTACTGAAAATAATAATCACTTATAGTTTTTACTAGTCAGAAACTAATGACTCTGCAGACAACAGTGCATGTTTTCTATGTATAAATCGCTGTTACAATTTTCTGTAGGTGGAGAAATATTGTAAGGACTGTTTTTCCACATTTTGAGTAATGCCACATTTACTATTTCTAATTTTTTGGTACTAAGTGTAGGCAGAAAAATTTTAGACTCGTAAAGTATAATTCTATAGCATCACTTTAAATGACTATGAGATTTCATTACATGGACAAACCATAATTTCTCATGCTGGACCCATATATGGTTGGTCCCCCCTTGATACTGGAAACATCGAAAAGACGTCTCATTGGCTTCTGTTAAAAAAAAAATGGTCTGTGTTCACTGGAGGGCAAAGTGATTCCTGCCTTTATAATAATGTCTGTTTGTGGCCTGGACTGGCTTGGGTGAAGTTATAAGATAAAGTTGGGCTTTATCTCAGTAATTCCCTCCTGCAGAAGTACAGCTGGTATTAATAATTAAGGGAACCTTCTTACTCACGGATGGCACATAGCTCAACATGAATAACACTTCTGGTCAGCACCTTAGCTACAATTTCAATGTACTGAACTTAAGGGCCATGTGAAAAATAGATGGATAACATTAGCAGTCATTCATTTTATCTTGCTGGGCTTTAAAAACAGGAAATTGAGCAGTGCGTATCCAACCTCCATAAATTAGCAGAAGGCACATAGCAAAACCATTCAAATCCCGTAGGTACAGGTTATGTTAAGAGATTTCTGATATATAAATACAAATTTCAGAATCTACCCAAGTATGGCTATATTATGGATAAGTATGTGTGTGCGTGTGTGTGTGTGTGTGTGTGTGTGTGTGTGTGTGCGCGCGCGCGCGTTAGTCCAGGCTTTGACTTCAAGGTGAGAGTTTTGAGCTTTTTCTTTCGGCTTCATTGCCATATAGCATTAACTAAACATAAAGAAGCAATCTTTAGTTGGACTAAAGATTTAGAATGTGAGAAAGTATATGGGTGGGGAAAATGGTTCGCTCTAACCAAAGTGGTTTGGCTCCTGTGTCAGTGAGTTTGATTAAAGAATCTTGACGTCAATGGAGATGTGCCCTGCCATTGAGATAGTAAATGTTTGAGGGAAATCATACACAATAAAATCTAACCATTTTCAGTAAAGTTGTTGGTGAGTCTAACAAATACATGCAGTCATGTAATTACTACCATAATCAAGATACAGAATATTTATACAAATTCAAAAAGTTCTCTTCAGCCTCTTTTCAGTCAACCCATTTTCTCCCAGCCTTCCCTACACATCACAGCTCTATCTGCTTAACACAACAGCTTTGCTTTCTCTAGACTGTTATGTAGACAACACCATGAAAAGGTGGCTCTTGGTATCTGACATAATGCTTTTGAAATTCATCAATGTTGTATGTTTTCTTAAGTCCATTCATTCCTATAGCCCAACAGTGTTTCATTTTGTGAATATAACACTACTTATTTACTCATCAGTTGATAAAATTTCTGAAGACAGGTTTTTGTTCTTACAAAAAAAACTGCTTTGGATGTGTGTGTGTGTGTTTGTGTGTGTGTGTTGCCATGTTTTTATTGCTCTTGGGTAAATATCTAGGATTGCTCTGTTATATAGCATAAGCGTTTCAATTCCTCTCCAACAGTTGGTTGGTTATCAGTTTTTTTTTTAATTTTAGTCCTTCGAGTGCGTTTTAATGGTGTCTCTTTATAGTTTTAATCTGTAGTTCTATAAAGACTAATTTATGTGACTGTGTGACTATGCTTACTAACAATTTGTATTTTATCATGTATCATTTACCTCAATGAGCTGATTATTTACACACACCCACACAAGAACTGCTGATGTGTTCAAACCCGTCAGAGGTGCTGTTAAGGATTCCTAAAGCTCTTAAATTCTTCCAGCTTAACAGCCCAATTCTGCGCCTCTAAGTTAGACAACAACATCCTGACGACATTACCTAGAATTTACATCCCAAGTTGCATCACTAGTAAGTCAATACCAATAGTCATTCGAACTTTGAGAGATCTAGCCTGCTAGAGATTTCTCAATTCCCATCCTTGTAACACTTTAATATTTAGTAGTGTTAGCTGCCTAATCCACCTTGGAATTACATCTTCAAGATTCCCCTTTCCTCGTTCATAACTTTACTTTTAGAAAAGGATCAGAAACTCTTTTTAAATCACTAATGATTGCTAAAATTAAATTTGTTACCCCTCCCGGTAGTATTTTTAATTTAACGAAAAATAGAATTGTAAATGAAAAATCTATTTCCTATATTAGCAGGCACAGTGAGCAAGGGTGGGCATTTACTTTGGGGATGCAAGGAGCTCCTTTGCCATCTCCCTGAAGTTCCATCATTTAGGTAACCACATATAAGGCTACAGTAATTTCTCTTTGAGGACTTCAGAGCTTCCCTAAACTTTGCCTCATTTAATATCTGTGGCAATACATTAACTGAGCTTGTTTTTCTTCTCTTTCAGTAGCCATCCAAGTGGAAGAAGAAGAGCGTGGACAGCCCAAGGATAGGTGAGTCCTGACCCTGAACAGTCATGCTCCCCGGAAGCTCTAGAACTTGCATTGGCTTGCACCTGAACCACGCTGAAACCAAGAAAACACTAACTAATGGAGAGGGAGAGCAAGATGAGACTGGTTAGGACCTGGAGGGAAATATTCTAGTTATAACTGGAAGGCAGGATGTCCAATGCATAGTGACATTGGGCATGGGCATGGCAAACTCAAACATCAATATCAAAGGAGTCTGATGGGATGAACATGGACATGTTCATCACGGCAACCTAGAACCTAGCATGGTGCCTGGACTGGGGGAGGGAGGCCCTATATTATCAAGTGAATAAATGAATAGGCGAAGTTGACAGTAAGTTCTTTCTGGGCTCAGTATCTTTGTATCTGCTGTGTCCTTTGTTTGGAATGTTCTTCTGCCACTTTTTCAGCTCATTTTTGCATCTTGACCCCACCACTACTCTATCAAAACCTTCCTCAACCTAGATTATGTCAGGCTACTATAAAATCATGTGGGTCCCTACACCTTTTCTTCATAACACAAGACTGTATTTGTGTAATTATGTTATTAAGTGCTATTAAGCTGAACTATAGATGGGGGACCATATAGCACTGGCTCATCTTTGTGCTGTTAGCACCTAGTCTGGTGCATAGGAGGTGCTCAGTGAATTTGTTGAAAGAATGAATGTATTCATCAGGCACACTGGTGGCCTGTTCTTCCACAATAAGATGCAGATTCTCTATACCTCTGTCCTCCTGAGGACCTGTCTGTCAGTTATCAAGGCTCCATCCAAATGGCTGTGGCCCCAAGCCACCATCAGTGAAGAGCCTGGTCAGAGGGATTCTAGAGAGCCCCAAACTTACCTTGACACACCAGTTACTGTGAGTTTAGACATCCTGGATGGTAAGCCGGGGCTCTGAGATTTGGGCTGTCCTGTCAGGCCTGACTCAGAAGTGGTTCAGATGAGTCTACAAAGGGAATGTCACAGGGAGTCAGCACAGGGCAGTGACAGGCCCAGACAAAATTAAGGACAGATAAACTATTCAACTGTGCTTTTCAATAGCTTGTTTCCTCTCCTTGCTATTGCAGTGGCCACCTCTGTTCTATCCTGTCACAGATATCCAGAGGATGAAAGTAACTCACTGTAAAGTCTCACTTGATTCTTTTTTGTCTTTCCAGTGTAGAATACCACGTACCTGCAAGTTGTGATGAAGCTCATTGTGTTGTTAACACTCAGAAAACAGCTACAGATGACAAAAGTGCTGCACATTTTTAATTAAAGAGTAAAGTCTATCTGACAGTCCATTTCTTATATACTTTTCTTTTCTTTTTTGGCTGGCCTTTTTTCTTATGTCTCTAAACCTTCCAGAAGGCAAGAACATATTACCATCAGTAATGGTGTGGGCTCCAGCGTTCCTCTAATGCCAGCTCTGTTCCCTATGCCAAAAGCAGATTTTATCTACTTCTTTTCATTCAGAACATATTTGTGAACCAAATCCATCCGCCTTGTTCCTGGCTTGGGGATAGTGTTGAGGACTAACACTTGTTCAGATTCAGACTCTTAACTTTATAAGCTGTGCCTTATGCAGAACTTAGAACTCCCAAGCCCTGGAGTAGTGACTTTACAGCCTCTGAGTTGTTAGTGCCCTCTTCAACGAGTACAGTTCGGACTGAAAACCTTCTGACATTGCTCTGGGTGGGAGCTATATATTTATGTAACTGGCTTTGTAGTGTTACACAGTATAGTTTACACTAGCTTTGTAATATTAATACTAATGTCTTGACCTATAAAGAAAAGTGTATAATAATAATGTAATACGGTGCCCTGAGAAAAGTCCATCAGCTAAGGACTCCTTTTCTGGCTGTGAGGGGCAGTCAGTAAAGAAAGCAGTGGCTGTGTCCTAGCAACAAAAAGCAGATTAACGTCATATCAGGAAATTAAGAGAGAAGTGGTAGCAGGTCTGGATCTGCACCCCATTTCTCTCTGGGCTGTTGCTAGTATTCAGAGGATTCACCTGCCTAACACACTGTTGATGAGCCTAGGCAGAGACACTGTGCATCATGATTCCTGCTTCTCTGTTTGGAAAAAGTGACTGAGGAGCAGGTCTGGGCCTTTGCAAGAGCCAATGGAGAGGTTGCAGTACTCCAAAGAGGAAAATAAAACGACCTTGACAGTAAAGTTACACCTAGATGGCCATCTGTCCAATCCTTTGTCCAGCCTTGGGACAAACCACAGATGACAGCCTGTCTAAATGGAGTTAAGAAAACTGCAGTGTCTCCCATTGAATGGTGAGGGGTTTTGATGCTATAATCTATCAGATGTCAGGATGTTTCATCCTGCTAGAAGCAGAGTGGACAGGGAGAGCTATCATCTTCATAATGGGCTGCATGGAAGGAACCTTAGAATCTTTTCAACTAATGGCTGAGAGAAAGAGTGGGGATGGCATTAGGAGGACATAGATGTGAGTCAGTCAGAGACTGATTCAGTCTGCAGATGTCTGGAGAAGATATGGGCTGGTCCAGAGTAAGGTTAACTAACTTGTACTTGAGAACTATCTGTGCCATTCTCAACTCTGAGAAAACTGAGCACCAAAGATGAATAGAGGAGCCTAGTGGAAGTGGAAGTGAACTAACAGGGCCTAGCACTAAGGAATAAAGCACTCAGCCCAAACTGAAAGAAGTGTGAGAGACCTGAAGTGCAGAAATAGTTCTGATTCTAGGTAATGGCCCTCCAGGCCTTGGACGCCTGTGTTAGCAAAGCTCATCCCTGTAACACACCATTTGTCTGCTGTGTCCTGCCCCTGACTTCATTAGGTTCTAAACCTCTTGCTGGTCCCTAACATGTTTTGTACAGAGTAATCCTCAGTTGATTTTTGTTAAATTGATTCAACTCTCCATTTTCTGTTTCTAGTTTTACCTCTCACCCCTCGTAGTCTGATGTTACTCCCACCGTCTTTCTAGCGCATGTCCTTCTCCCCAGTGTCTCTTCAGTCCCCCTGGCTAGAAGCCCCTGATTCATCCCAAACTCTCTTCCTCCCTTTCCTCTAACCATTGTACAAGAAAAAGAGTTTTTCTTATACATATTGGTCTCAGCAACGAATGAGACATTTTTAAAAAGAGGTAGTTTCTGAAGACAGCTGGGAAGTTTGGCGTTAAAGAGGGGATACCTGCTTTTCAGTTTGTAACCTTTTATGTTCTGTAATTTTAAAACTATGTGCTTGTATGTTTATTAAACAAAAGCTTATGTAAAAATATTCCTGGAAAATAGCTTTATTATAAAATTGATGTATATAACTATATTCTGTGTTTGAAAGTTGCTAAGAATAGATCATTACAGAAAACAAGTATAACTATGTATGGTAATGATATTAACTAAATGTGCGGTTAATCATTTCACAATACACCTATATATCAAATCATTATGTCGTACATTTAAAATGAATACACTATTATGTATTATTTATTTTTAAGTTAATTATGTATGGCACATAAGAACCAGGGAGGTTCTAATGGGAAAAGACTGCCCAGTCTCTGAGAGCGGGGAGGCACCTAAAATAGTACCTCAAAACTATATATTTTAGTGTGGAGATTTCTCAAAATGATGATAGATCTCCATATGACTGAGCAATTGTAATCCTCATATGCACGCAAAGAATACAAAACCCCTAATTTGAAGGGATATATGCACTCCTACATTCACTGCAGGACATTTACACCAGCCAAATTATGGAAACAATTTAAGTATCCAAGGATAGAGCAGTGGATTAGAAAAAGTATATATGCACAATAGAATACAATTCAGCTATAAAAAAGAAAAAGAATGCCTGTCATTTGCAACAATGTGGATATAATTGAAAAGGATTATGCTTAGCAAAATAAATCAGGCAGAAAAGACAAAAAGCAGATGATTTCACTTATATAGAGAGAAACAAAACAAAGGCTCAAGAAAAAAAAAAAGGAAAGAAACCCTTGACATCTGACTGCAAAATTGAGACAACCAATTTGTCTCAAAGTTTTTATTTGCAAAGGGGAGGGTGATGGGTGGAAGTAGGGGAGTGAGGGGCCCAAGGAACCTTGGTGGGGGATTAGCTTTGGTGATGGGCATGGTGTAAAAACATGTGTAGAGGTTTGAACGTGAAACCTCTAAAACAAATACTGTGTTGTAAACCGACATTACCTGAATAAACATAATTGGGGAAGAAGTTTTTTTAAAGATTAAATGACATATTAATATACCCTCTGGTGAAAACATCCCTCCTGTGTCTATTAAATTCTCCCATAAGTCTGTGTTTCAAGTTTGGAAGAAAGCAAGCCAAGAAAAGTTAAGAAGATGTCACTAGATGTAACAATAGTACTAACTGCTACTGTAATTTTGTTTTTATTTTGTCCAAGGAACTCTTCTAAACGTTTCCACTCAGTATCCTAATTAGTCCCTGTCAAGTAGGGTATGGGATAAAATGCCCATTTTGATGATGGGGAAATCTAGGCACAAAGAGGTTAAAACAATTTATCCAAAGTCACTAACTCATAAAGTGGCAGAACTGGGGGAGATTTCAGGAACCATCACCCCCCTCTACCCCTTTATCTTCCGCTGTGTGTTTTCTGGCCACAGATGAGAGAGTATGTTGCCTGGCAACAGAGTGAGGGCCTACATCACATCTTGTACTACCTCAGCCCTCTGGTGCCTCTAGAGGGACCCATCACTGAGTTTTCCATTGTCTCATGAAAGACCAGAAGTGGTGGATTCCTTCTCCACCAAGAACCATGATTCTAGCCATAGGTAAGCTCCAGGTTTCTCAGAGGTGACATCAAAGCACCAGCTAAGCAAATGCCGATATTCTGTGTATGGCCTTAGTGCTAAACTTCTTAGTCTACATGCTCTACATGTGGCCCTCTAACTGTCCTGACTGTGGTTTTTCTCCTGCCCTTGGCCACACTATTTAGACATGACCATCAGCTCTTATCCCAAGGCTCAAACTTCAGTTTCCCACTCTAAGTATAACTTGGATTAACTCCCTAAAAAAGCTGCCCCTGGTCATCCAGAATAATCACCCCCTCGCCCATCTCAGTTTCAGAACCCACTATTTTAGAACATTCACACCAGACCAGCTCTGCCCAGCCAACAGGTAACAGAATTATAGAGTGCATGTCTCTGCACAGGAGGTAAAGGTGTGCCCTGTGCTTACCCCTCAATTTAGTTTGACATCCTTATTAACTAAATTAAAGCTTCTCATAGCATGGAATCATATAATTTTAGAATGTACAAGAAGTCAAATAGGCTGTGGCCTTCATGGCAGATTGAGGCTGGATATCACAGGGCTTGGGGGCAGGATCTGAGAGATGGGAAGCAGAAAGTGACAACTCATTTAGAGATAGAGGATGGTAGCAAGGTTAGAGTAGGATAAGACAGGGAAGATGTTCTTTCACAGCAACGTTTTTGAATCTTGTTACACTTTAAGGTTGCCAACACATAACAAAACACCTCAAGTTATGCAGGCATTTAGTTCTGTCTGTTCCTTATAAAAATATTTTTCTCCAAATGCTTATAAACATACCTAAAGAATGAAGGAAAAAGAAATCAGATTCGGTAATTTTTCATAGTATGAAGAGACACATACTATTTCTCTTTTCTTTCATTATTTCCTATTAACATACACTTGATTTTTTTTTTTTTAGTAGATGAGGAGAAGGGAATGTATTTTAGTATTTGTAGATCCTTTTATCCATAGAGTCTAAATGAGACTCAAAGAGTTGGGTTAATCATAGATGTTGTGAAAAGCTTAGGTGAAAGCTGTCTACTAATGATGTCTTCAGAGCAAACTAAATACTGGGCCTTCCTCTCCTGGCACCACTTAGAATATTCCCCATTTATATGTTCACAAAAAAGTGAATAATTCCTTTTATAAACAGGTGTAACTTAATAAAAATAAGTCATTCTTAAATGATTTTATTGTGAAAAGTTGTTTTTTAAAAGTATATGTTATTTCAGAAATAAAACAGTAAGACCAACTTAATACTGCCCATGCAGGTGAGTTCTCATCTTGTATTCATCTCAGAAATAATGGTGTTGTGAACACATAGGGGATTTTATATATAGAATACAGAGGAAAAATCACCATATTACCCCAGAGCTCATTGTGAAATGGAAATGTAGAAAGCATCCAATGAAGCCTTTCCATTATTTTTTATGGCAAAGATAGAGAATAGAGTAATTCACCAAACACGACCAGGACTCAGGTTCCCAATCTTCAGTCCATGGTACCTTCCATCTTATCAAGCCCTTTTACTCTTCTTGTTAGTTAGAGGAGCTGGGAAATGGGCATTAATTAACAAGGTCTAATATAGTAAAAGCTTAATGTTTTGTCAGATAGACCTGACATTGCTATTGTTGGCATGTGCCCTTGGAAAAATTACCTGATTATCTCTGATTTTCATTTTCATTATGTGTTAAATAGAATTAGTCATATCTACCACACTCATAGGATCACACTTCAAAAGATGTGAGAATTGTACAACTAGAGAAGAGAGGAAGGAAGGGAAGAAATCCACAGCAAAGAAGTAATTGAGTTTGTTATATAGCAGGGTGGGCTGGGGGGGTGATGAGAATTAGTAGTGGGAGAAGGGTAACAGATACCCTCATGGCATAAAAGTAGTAGGGATTTTTTCATTTAACATTCAACCCAGAAGTCTCTCCATACACTTTTGATAGGCAGAAATGTTCCCACATCTCTTCCTATGTCAGTCTCACTTGTCCTTGTTCCTCTCTTAGCATATCAACCCAGAGACTAAGATGATTAAAATGGTGGTCATCCTTATTTTCTGAGCCAAAGCCATCTTTAAAAGACCTCCTTTAGGGGCCCTCCCTGGTGGCGCAGCCGGTTAAAGCACAGCACAAAGAAGCTTAAACCACTTCTGCATGAGCTCGATTCCTGCCTGCCCCGGAGGTGATCCACATCGCGAGGCAGACCTCTCCTGACCCGCCCGCTGCTCCCCTCAGCAGTGTACTTTGTCTATCTACCTGTTCTGCTCCCCACTCTGTCTCTGGTGAATCCTCTCACCCTCCACATCTCTGACCTGTACCCCAGTTTTTTCGGATTAAAAATTAATTTTTAAAAAAAAAAGACTTCCTTTATCTCCCCTTTCCCGAGGTTATTTTCAGACATTCAATAATAACTACTTCTTTGCCAACGTGGCAGAGAACCCTGTCTTTAGTATATATAATAGAAGTTCTTAGCAGTCAAACACAAAGCAAAAATAAAGTCTCTTAAGGGCCAGGGGCTCTCAGTCAAGATTTTCAGAAAACTCTGTCCGAGAGGGAAATCTCAAAGGTTGCTTTGTTGCAAATTGGAGGCAAGAAAACCAGTTAGGAAACTGGGATAGTTAGCTCCTAGCGTTTGGCATTTCCAAGTTGCTGAACTATTAAGTGCTCTGACTTTTCTAGAGTGGGTCCTACTACCTGGACACATCAATCCAGGACAGTGGCAATAGTCTTCACTTAAGAAACAGACCCAAATGACAGGAAATAGAAATTTAAGGGAGCTGCTTAAGTTTCTACCAGGCTGCCTGCTACTTTTTAGCTGCACATCAAGTATTTTCCCTGGGGCTGCAGGCCTGACAACTTCAGGAGCCATAGATCATAGGAGTTCTCAGCACTCAATCAGAAGGAGGAAAGAAATCCTCAAACATGATGCTGGAAAGGTGTGAGAATCGATGCACAGCTAACAGACTGAGAATAGTATACAAATCATCTTTGATTTAGGCATCAAGATGAATAGATCTTTTTCTATATCATGGACCCAGCACAAAGTTAGAGCAAAGGTTAACTTCAGATGAGAGCCAGGAAACACAGAGCAGGAAGATCACTGGCTGCCCAATAATTAAAATACTCTGGAATTCATATTTACAAACAAGAGCACACACTGCAAGTGTATTATTAGTACATGCCAGAATATGGATGCCAGTTCCACTGGTAACACAAACTAGTTACATGCTGTTTCTACCAGTCCATCGCTACTTTTTAACTGCACATCAAGTATTTGCCCTAAGGCTGCAGGCCTCACAACTTCTGTAAGAACAGTTGAGCTGTGCTCACTTCGTGGGAAAACATCAAGTTCATCCTATTAAAATTATTTAAAAAATAATCCAAACAATTAAATCAGCCCTTTCATATATTTTGTCTTCCAATTTTTAATTTATTTGTT